TACACTGTTTCAGCATTGCGTGATAAATTACAAATTTTATACTGTTGTTTCTCGATCGAAATAATTGCTTTATGCTCTTCAGAAGATGAGTATCATTACAGTTACATTACATTTAGTAAAGAGTGTTGATTACACTTACCACCATAACTCTCTTTCCACTGCCGAGTACTTGCTTTCCGACGTTCTGACTTTTTTCTTTCTTCTGTGCATGCGCAGGTAGGACACCAGCAGTAGATTCTGGTGCCATTGAAAATGCCGAAGTTTCCCATGAGTGGGCATATTTGGAAGGCGGGGCTGTCCATCTTCTCGACCAATCAGAAATGAGTGGGCCGGGCTGGCCGTGGGCCATCTTGTAACCTGCAATGAGGCGTAGTTGTCTGAAAGACCTGAAGGGAATTTGCGTAGTTTCAGCTGCCTGTAAGTATTCAGATATATTATATACATAAGCCTGTATCTGTATTCATGTATATTAATATATAGCATCAGAAGATGTGTCACATAATAATACATCTAGGCGTCCCAGAAGGAATCTGTATTTTTCAACAAGGAAGGTCGAAACGAAGGCTCACGGAAAGCGGTAGCAGGGTTGCCAATTTTGGTTAGCTGAGTGGCATGAGACTTTGGGTGTGTCCGAAATGGCGCACTTGCCCAATTTTAGGGCGTAGTGCGTTCACACTGACAACTGCTAAAATTCAGTGCACTGAAAGTACCCGGATGCTGCACTGAAAACGGCCAGAAAACGCAGTGCAGAATGATGGACACTACTCGCACTAAAGGGACGCCATTTTGACTACGTAGCGGAAGGGGAGGGACTTTCGGCAAGTTTTTATTGTCAAATTAAGGCGGACAACAACACAGATACGCAAGCCCAAGCGGAGGCAACTGCTTCATATAAATGTAAATAACGTTAATAAAATTATTTTACTGATGTATACTGCGGTGTGTAGCCTGTCACTCTCTGACGACAGATATAGATAACATGTAGGTTACGTACCATCTCATGTTCAGCCAACAGGAGGAGGATCCTGCGTCGACGTTGAATGCGACGCAGTTTCCACGTAGGGGGTAAACAAAAGCAAATAAAACCACAAGGAAGTCAACAAAACACGGCAGATATTTTGGGGCGCTGGAGAATCGCGATCAAATGCTAGTCCGTCACTTCCGGTAAGTGCAAGACGTGTGTTCCATGTAGGACAGCATTTACCCGTGGTTGTGTGCACTACAGAAGGAAGTGCGCACTATGCACTACATCTCAGTGCACTGACGCAAGTGCGCGATTTCGGACACACCCTTTCAGTTAGAGACAAGTCTGCACACGCATTTACATGTATGTGAATAAGTGGCCGTTTTAACATTTAATCGCTAGACTGGATATGTTTGGCAGATATCCGTAATTCAATTCTTCTTAGTCAAAAAGAGCATTTCAGATATCCACAATGACATTCTTCCTATCCACAATTGTCATTTCAGATATCCACATCATCATTCTTCCTAGGAGAAATTACGTCACTTTTGCCACTTTGTAAAGATTTAAAGATATCTTAAATAGAATTGTGACTAGGATAAATAAAGTTTTAGATATCTTGAAATACATTTTCTACTAGTAAGAATGCAATTGTGGATATCTGTAATTGTCATTCTGACTAGTAAGAATATAATTTTGACTAGGAGAAATGATATTATGCATATCTAAAATGTAATTACAGATAGGAGTGTGACTTGATTAAATGTTAAAACGGCTTGCCATAAGACGCCTCCATATAAGCCTACTTACTATAAAGCTTTCAAGTGCACGATGGAGTAGTTGGCTGCTGAGTCGCGGTTTCTGATTCGCCTTGCGTTTCTATTCAATGTATGAACCAATAGCGATTTAGTCACGGCTTCTGTTTCCTATAGTAATTGCAAGCCAAACGCTGTGTTCATTGAAGTGCATTTTATTTGCTGCCCAGTCAATGTGTGAGCGATTTTAGTGCACATAACGTGGAAGAATGTTTACAAAACGCGCAGAATAGCATGTGTTTTTTTAATGTTTAATTTTGAATGCATTTATTGTATATTGCAGGTTCTTTTAAAAATATTTACCTGCCAGTTTACAGAATTTTTCCACACCAATTAGCCAGTTTATGTGACATGACGGTAAGAACTGTAACTAGAACTGTTTCTTCTCTGTTTTTCATGCTGAGAAGGGATGATGCCCACCAAGGTGTCCCGTTATATAGAATTAATGGACAATACGTAGGCATGCAGATCTTTCCGCCTAGTTCATAGCTGTCCTGAGTTATACAGGGTTATTAGCCACCTACCAGCCGATCAGAAAACAGCATTTGTTGTTTCTGGGTAAATTGACAATGTCTGTGACGTATTTCGATTATACATTATACTGGCAGTCTAGCTTCCGGTTTGTGGGGTCAGTGGCTAGCATGAAAACAAAATAGTGATATTGTGCTTGAAGAGCTGCAAATATTCTTTTTTTTTTTTAATTTAAATAGTACCAGTAAGAAGGCAGCAACACTTTTTTTCAGTATTAAGCACTTTTATATTTTTTTTAATATCTAGAATGACACACTTTCTCACGCTCACGCAAGAAATCTTACGGCAAGTCAATATTAATCCATTATAAACCTAAAATTAGTTACATACATGTTAATGTATGTGTAGACTTCTCTTAAATTGAAAATGTCAGGCCAGCCAGCCGACCAACGGTGGTGACACTGATTATTCTTAGTACAATATTGCACAATAAAATATTTTGAAATACTATTGCTAATAAAAAAATGATTTTTATGAGTGATTGAGGTTTCACTGAGAAAACAAAAATGAAATATGGAAAAGTTACATGTCAGGGTAAGGTTATCAAAAGGGAACCAATGCAGAAGGATTTTTAATGTACAGTGGTACCTCAGTTCTCGAACTTAATCCGTTCAGAACTCTGGATCGAATCCTAAAAAGTTCGAGTTCTGATCGAATTTTCCCCATAAGAAATAATGGAAAACCAATTAATTGGTTCCCGGCCCCAAAAAATTACACCTGAATATGTTTTTTTTTTTTTTTTTTTTTTTAAGCATTTAAACGCAAAATGAACCGGATAAAACAAGAAGAGCATGTACTGTACTAAACACATCTAAGCACATTTATCAAAACAGTAATTTGTAAAGTAAGAAAATAAATGTATCCGAACAATGTGTCCTGCCCCGATCATCCGCTCCTTCCTTGTGTCACGCCCCCTCGTTAACCCCGTGTGGAATCCCCGTGTGATCAACTGTTTCTGGTTGTTGTCATTAGCCCTCTGTATTTCGTCCGCGTTTCAGTTTATTTCCCCAGCCAGGTAATTATATTGTCCGTCTGCGTTTTGCCTGCCTTACCTGTAATTAAACCCCGTATTCCCCGATGCCCTGACGTCTGTGCCTTTGTCTCCGTTCTGTTCCGCTTGGCACAACAATATTATTATAATTAAATGTATTAATGGTTTATTCAATCAATCAATCAATCAATGACTTTTATTGACAGACTCAGGTCTAAATGTATTTTTACTGTCTAAATATATGTATTCAGCTAGTGTAAACATGCACGGTGCTATCACAGCGAATGTGAGGCTGACACTGAAGCTTTACCCTTTGTTTCCGCTGAGAGACGTGCAGCGTGACTCATTTCCCCGCGCATACAAATTATCTTAGGTCGGCGTTCACAGTTTGACATCTGAGATTTAGTTATTATCAGTAACTAAAACTAAATCCTTCTTTGCAATCTGCCATTCCTCTGTTACATTCTTTAATAGCTCAGCTAGTGCTGTGCGATATGGCTTAAAATTCATATTGCGGTATAATTTGAACCATAGACGGTAGATGATATACTGTATATTGCGGTATATAATTTGATCTGTAAATTTCAATATAATATGTCCATAGCAAAGGCATTGCAGCCAGAAGTTGTATAATAAACTTAACACATTTCAAAGTAGTCGTGAACGTAGAATATTTATTGTGCAAATCTGCAATTAGGCCTATAGAAAAAATATGAAAACATTTCAGGTAACTTCCCTAGTTTTATCTTGTATTAAAAACACAGGTTGGTTTTGTAAACTGCAGGTAAGCAGAAAACAAGACACAGAACCAAAAACTACAAAACTAATACAATTAGACTAGTGTCATAACTCCATCTATATTAGAATGACCATCTCTCCTATAAAGGTCCTGCCAGGCAGAGTCCTGCACGGGTTTGTGTACCCGACGGGTGACCCGCAAATTTTGATGAAACTGATGAAAAATATTCTGCTGTGTTGGATATGGGTTCGGGTCAGGTTGGACGCAGGAGAGCTGTCGCGATGTACACTCACCTAAAGGATTATTAGGAACACCTGTTGAATTTCTCATTAATGCAATTATCTAATCAACCAATCACATGGCAGTTGCTTCAATGCATTTAGGGGTGTGGTCCTGGTCAAGACAATCTCCTGAAC